GGATTGGAAGAAGAAAGCAGATAGGGGAACACTGAGAGACAGGTTTGCATGGTCTAAATGGGACAGAGGTAAATAGTGATGCATGCTCAACCTTGGAACAACAGGGCTCTGTGATACAGGGATCCAGGCATAGTCTGAAGGGGGGAAATAATGTTAAGATGCTTGACTGTCTTATGAATATTGGTTTCCCTTGCCTACTATTGTAAAATAGACACTTGAGTGGGACAGAAAGGAATATCAGGAAACATGATTACAGAAAGCTTGTAAGTCCATCTTCAGCCTATAACTGATTGGAATACCTAAAAGGGGCTCTACAGCTTGTCCAATGAAATAGGCCTCTTGTAGTGTGTCAGACCTTAGGTGGAATCCTGAGGCCCATCCAGAACCTTCTGAGGTGAGACATTCCCACTAAATAGGACAAGCAGACCTGCCTGGAACAACTAGAGCAATAGAAGATACTTCTTGAAACAAAGACCCACAGGAAAAATCCAAACAAAAATGGCAGCTTGATGGGCCACCATAAGAATAAACAAGTTGTTTGCGGGGGACTCATCAAGGCAAGCAATCAAGTTCCTTCAGGACAAATCTCCCTCCAAGACTGAAACTCAAAAGGAACACATGAGCAGGCATGTAAGCTTGCTGGCAACCACATTGGTCCACTGGTGAGTGGAAGAAGGCGGGGAGGCAGCAATGAAGAAATGGGCTGAGTTCAACCACATTCCATTGACTCTTGTTGACCTGGAGATGAGAGAGAGAAGACGAAAGGCTGGTTGGTCTGAAGTATGGTGAGACCTGGGGACACCTGAGCCCATGGACAAGGACATACTCACGGAGGGCTAGAGCTAAGAGTGAAGCACCCAGCTGATATGAAGTGAGGGGAGACACACAAGAACACCCAAACTTGTAAATAGTACCCATTTGACCTAGCCTCGATGGTTTGATAATCAGAACTTGACTGTTATTGTTGTGAAGTGCTGTCGAGTTGGTTCCAACCTATAGCGATCTTGTATAGGGTTTTCGAGGAGCAGCTGGTGAGCTTGAACCGCCAAACTTGCAGTTCAAACGGCTTGGCAGTCTGGCGCATTAACCCACAGCACCATACCAGGACTCCAGAACTTGACTAGAGGATGATAAAAAGAACAATTTTTGATAAAGGAAATGAGTGTAAATTGCTATAATTTGATTAACTTGACCTATACTTATGGACATAGTAGCTCAAAATACCAGCTGAGAGGGAAAGAATCTTCAATCCTATATCCTCTGCATACAGGGTAAATAGGAATGGGCAACTTAGGCATTTGTTGTTGTTGTTATTGTCAGGTGCCATCGAGTCAGTACCGACCCATAGTGACCTTATGCACAGCAGAACAAAACACTGCCCGATCCTGGGCCAACCTCACTACTGTTGCCACGCTTGAGTCCATCGATGCTGCCACTTGGCCAATCCATCTCGTTGGGGGTCTTCTTCTTTTTCTCTGACCCTCCACCTTACCAAACATGATGTCCTTCTCCAGGGACTGCTCCCTCCTGACAATATGTCCAAAGTATGATTGATAAAGTTTGGCCATCTTGACCTCCAAGGAGCACTCTAAGCTACACTTCTTCCAAAATGGATCTATTGGTTCTTTTGGCAGCCCATGACACTTTCAATATTCTCCTCCAACACCACAACTCAAATGAGTCAATTCTTCTATGGTCTTCCTTATTCACTGTCCAGTTTTCGCATGCATATGAGGTTATTGAAAATGCCATGGCTTGGGTCAGGAGCACCTTAGTCTTCAAGCTAACATCTTTGCTCTTCAATACTTTAAAAAGCTCTTATGAAGCAGATTTGCCTAATATGTTGTTTGATTTCTTGACTGCCGCTTCTGTGAGTGTTGATAGTTGATCCAAGAAGAATGAAGTCCTTGACAACTTCAATCTTTTCTCTGTTGATAAGAACATTGTTTATTGGTCCAGTGTTGAGGATTTTTGTTTTCTTTACATTAAAATGCAATCCATACCAAAGGCTGTGCTCTTTGATCATCATCAGTAAATGTTTTAAGTCCTCTTCACTTTTAGCAAGCAAGGTTGTATCATCTGCATATTGCAGGTTGTTAATGAGTCTTCCTCCAATCCGGATGCCACGTTCTTCTTCATATAACCCAGCTTCTCGGATTATTTGCTCAGCATACAGGATGCATAAGTGTGGTGAAAGAATACAACCTTGTCACACACCTTTTCAAATTTTGAACCATTCAGTGTTCCCATGTTCTGTTCAAACAACTGCTTCTTGGTCCAGGTACAGATTCCTCATGAGCACAATTAAGTATTCTGGAATACTCATACTTTGCAATGTTGTCCTTAGCTTGTCATGATCCACACAATCGAAAGCCTTTGTGCAGTCAATAAAGCACAGATAAACATCTTTCTGATATTCTCTGCTTTCAGCCAAGATCCATCAGACATCAGCAATGATATCCCTCATTCCACGACCTCTTCTGAATCCAGCTTGAACCTCTGGAAGTTCTCTGTCAATGTATGATAACAGCCATTTCTGTATTACCTTGAGCAAAACTTTACTCGCTTGAGATATCAAAGAGATTGTCCGATGATTTCCGCATTCCGTTGGGTCACCTCTCTTTGGAATGGACACAAATATGGATCTCTTCCAATCAGACGGCCAGATAGGTGTCTTCCAAATTTCTTGGCAGAGATGAGTGAGTGCCTCATTGCCTACCTAAAATGAGTGGGCGATAAAGGCACAAATTGACTGGCTTACAAGTTTCAAGAGGGAGTTTTGTTTAAGAGTGTGCAGGGGAAGGTAGAGTCCACACTGAATAGTTTTCATTTTGTCTAGATGGGTCTGGTGAAAAGAGATGGATATAAGATTCGTATGATTCAATGACTGGTGACTGTGTGCCATGGAGTTGGTTCCGACTCATAGTGACCCTGTACAGGGTTTCTGAGGCTGTAAATCTTTACAGGAGCACAGCACCTCATTTTTCTCCTGTGGAACAGCTGGTAGTCTCGAACTGCTGAGCTTGTGGTTCACAGCCTGATTTGTAACCACTAAGCTGTGAGTAGTTGTTATCATGACTGATTGCAACTGTTACAACTGTTAAGGTAGATGTTTTGTAACAAAATCGGGGGAGTAGTTAATCTTACAGTTCAGAAATCAAGGACCCTAGGACTATCAAGGGAGAAGAACAGGAGCGAAATGTGGGACCCTGTCCAGAGAAGCAAAAACACCAAAGATGGAGGCAGAAATTAGGACACGGAGAGAGAGAGAAGCCAAGGACTCTAGACTCACAGAAAGAGAAAGACTATGTGCTGGTGGCCAGGAGGCAGGCTTGCAGAATGTGCCCTTTGTTTGTTTATAAACTATTATATATTCTTGAGTATTTTTGTGCACATACCCCACCCCAAACAAAACAAAACAGAGGGAATAGAAGCAAATACTATTGAATGATAATGCACGGAGGAGATTGTAATCATTGCAATGACCCATGGTGTAAAACCTATGTTCTCCTATGTAAATGATCACTCAATTCACAACAAAAACTTATATATATATATAATTATATTAATGATGAGGATGGTGTAGGACTGAGCACTCTTTTGTTCTGTTATACACAGGGTTGCTATGAGTTGTAACTGGCTTGACGTCACCTAATAACAACATTAACTATACTTCTCAGCATCGTACTTTGCTCAGTCACCTATACCCCATGGAAATCCCTGGCAGCTCTCATTCACTTTTTAACAGCTAACCTTAGTCCCCTCCTCCACATTGTTCCCCCCCCTCATTGTACTTATTTTTTTCATCCATTTAGAGAGCCTCATGAGGGAAATTCCAGGCCAGGTAGGAGGAAAAGGGCAGTGCTTACCACTGGGTCTTGCCCACCCCCTTGGCTGAGTGACCAGGAGCCCTAGGCCAGCAGGAATGCTGACTGTGTTATTGTGAAATCATTTGCATATTGTGATGTGCTTTGCCTATGATGGAGTGATTTACATACTGGGGTGGAGGGGGCGGCATCTCAGTTGTGCTAGATCAGCATCCCTGGTATCTTTCTCACTTTGTAAAGAAACCAAAGAGAAGGGGGTTCCACTTCAGAACTCAGGAGAGGCCCACGGGCGTGTCCTGGCTGCCTGGTGAATGTAGTGGGATAAGGTAGACTGGAGGCTCTGGAGACGAACTGGTCCCACCTGGAAGGAGTCAGAGGCGTGAGAAGGGCAGACACTGGGGTGTTTAAGTGAGACTGGTCACTGAGTGCCCCAGGTGAGCCCCAAATAGGGGGAGAACAACACAGTACAGTCAGGAGGTAGGTGAAGGGCAGAGGCTTGGAGACCCCAACAAGGGCATTGTCTCTACCCAAGTGAGTATCCCCTGGACCTCCCGCAAGTATCCTCTGGTCCTGGCTGATTCACAAAGATGCCCAGACCAGATCCTGCTGCTGTTCAGACCCAAGAAAGGAGAATGGCAGAGCATTCAGGGACACCCAGGTGTGACTCCTCCACCTGCCACCTTCTGCCATTGTGTGACTTAAGTGGGATATGCCAAGGACTAAGTGAGACCATACAAGTAGTAGATGTTCAGTAAACGGCAGTGATAATAATAATTGCTATTGTTTGTTGCCCTAAGAGGCCAGACTTAACTCTCTCAAGGAAGGGAGCACAGAGCCTTCACCCACCCACCCCCTCACAGCTCCGTCCCAGCTTCGGACTTCGGGGCAGCAGGGTCCAGCACTGGACCCCAAAGGGTTACACATCCTGGGGATAGCAGCCTGAGGTCCCCAGTGAGAAACCAAAGCATAAAAATAATTCGATGAGTAAGAATAAAATTCCCTGTTCTGAGGCTCCCGGGGCCAGGCCCCTCCCTGCGGCAGGCACTTCCCCTTTCCCTCGTTCTCTGAGGAGCCAGGCCCCGCTGACTCAGAGCAGGAGCGCGGCTGGAGCTCCGGCCCGAGGCGGAGCCGTCAGGCAGCCGGGGGCGCCCCCGTGCGGCCGCAGGAGGAACTGCAGCCCGGGACGGGAAGCGGCGACCGGCCCGGCAGTCTCGCGCCCGGCGTCCCGTCGTCCCCGCGGGGCTGCAGCCTCCGCCCTGCCCGGCCTGGCAGAGCGCGGTGCCCTGGGGCTACCACTTCCCGCCACCCCGACCCCGGCGGAAGTACGCCGCTGCCCGGCTCCCACAAGAGCGCGAGGCGGAAGCGCGCTCCGGCCATCGCTCCCCTCGGCCCGCGTCGCGCGGCGCGTCGGGTTCCGGACAGCTCCGTGTGACGTGGCCGCAGGC